AATCGATTTGGATTATTAGAATTTTTTTCCCTAATTTAATTAAGAATATTAAAAAATTATTGTTATTCTAATTTTATGGATTATTAAATTTTTTTTTTAATTTAGTTAGTTTCTTAACAATTGTTTGTTAGTTTTTCATTTTTCATTTTTTTTTTTAACTAAGTTTAAAATTTAGCACATAGCATCATCTCAATCGTTATTAGACACTTGTTGTTATATTGTGAGTTATAATTTTACTTACGTGTCGTGCTTTTATCGAACGCATCCAACTTTATATAGTAAGATAAGTATATTTTTTTAATTAATTATAAGTGTTAACACATGTCATCATCTGCTTAATATTAACCACATACCGTGATCTTATGAGTTATTATTTTGTCTATATTTCGCGTTCTCATCGTGCGAATCTTCGTTTATATAATAAAATTTTATAAATAAATAGATGCATACGTTTGACAAAAATATATGGTATAGTAAAAAGAGAAAATTAATTTATGATTTTAATCAATTTAAACAAGAAATCACAAAAGTATCGTTCAGAATAATTTTTAAAGAGAAATAAAAAAAAGGATTAATTTAACTAATAACCAAAATCAGATTTATAATTCAGCCAATATCTATGTATAAAATTAATTAGGCGGATTTTACTTAAAAGGTGGTTCACAAAATCTTTTGAAATACCAAAAAACGAATCTTCTCTAATTTGTTCATATTCTTATGAGTTTTCAAAATAACTTTTGAACCACGTGCACCAGAGTAAAAGAAAGATGGGTGGTCAGAAGAAGGGCGCGGCTAGGGTTTCAGAGGATTTGGAGGAACAGAGTCGTCAACGTTTGCAAGCTATTCTTCTCGCCGACAGCTTCACCACGAACTTCCGACCAGTAACCCTAGAACGACCAAAGGTACTATTGCCGCTAGTGAATGTCCCGATGATTGATTACACCTTGTCATGGCTCGAATCTGCTGGTATAGAAGATGTTTTCGTCTTCTGTTGTGCTCACTCGTCTCAGGTAATCGATTATCTGAAGAATTCCGAGTGGTACTCGCACCCAAACTTGTTGGTGAGAACGATAAAGTCGCACAATTCAACTAGTGCTGGAGATGCTCTGCGTTACTTTTATGAACAGCAGACAGAGACTTGTCAAATTCTTGGTGACTTTGTTCTTGTTGGTGGTGATACTGTGAGTAACATGCCACTCGGTGACTTGATTCAAGAACATAGAGAGAGGAAGAAGAAAGATGAGAAAGCTATCATGACCATGGTTATCAAGAAGTCCAAACCTTCGCCACTCACGCATCAGTCAAGGCTTGGAACAAATCAACTCTTCATTGCTGTACATCCCTTAACCAAACAGCTTCTCTATTACGAGGAGGCTAAGATCGCAGATCATGCGAAAGGGAACGTTTGCTTAGATTAGTCGTTGTTGGATACGAATCAATCTGTTTTACTATGCAATGATATGCAGGATTGCTACATTGATATATGTTCTCCTGAGGTGCTTAGTCTTTTTGAGGATAACTTTGACTATCAGCATCTACGTCGTCATTTCGTAAAGGGTTTGCTTGGTGATGATATTATGGGTTACAAGATTTTCACTCATGAGATACACTCGAGCTATGCTGCTAGGATCGACAATTTCCGAAGCTATGACACTGGTAGCAAGGATATAATCCAGAGGTGGACATACCCGTATGTGCCTGATATCAATTTCAGCGGAAATCGCCCTCTAAAGCTCGGGAGACAAGGGATATACCGGGCTTCCGATGTGATTCAGTCACAGTCTGCTCATGTTGGATCTTCTACTGTCATTGGATACGGTACAAAGATTGGGAGTGGGGATAAGATCTTGAACTCGGTTATTGGTAATGGATGTTGTATTGGATCGAATGTGGTGATAGAAGGCTCATACATATGGAACTCTGTTACGATTGAGGATGGGTGTGAGATAAGGTACGCTACTGTTTGTGATGGGGTGAAAATCACAGAGCTGGGGCTGTTGTGCAGCCCGGTGTTGTTCTGTCTTTCAAGGTTGTAGTGGGGCGAGGCGTTGTTGTACCTGCGTATTCAAAGGTTTCCTTACTTGAACAGCCAACTGAGGAAGACAGCGATGAAGAACTGGAATATGCTAACAGTAGCAGCGGGACTGCTGATGTTTTGTCAGGCGTACACTCGCTGCAATTGGAGTCTAAAGCATCTGATCTTGGTCCTGATCGAGCAGGTTACATGTGGAAAGTATGTGAAGGCGCTCATTATTATGAGGAGTGGCTGCATTCTGTTGTACCAATCCCCATGGATAAACTTGCTGAGATCACTCAGGCCATGTACGATGATGACTCAGAGGACGAAAGCGTTGTCCCCACTTCTGGTGAGTTGAAATCTGATGCTGATAGTATTAACACTGATGTGAATGATCCCACTGATGACTATGGTTACTTTGAGAGAGAAGTTGAAAGTACCTTCTTAAGGGCCGTTGAGGATGGTAACTCTGAAAATTTAATGGTGGAGATAACCGATCTTTGGAAGTCACACAACAGGGAACTTACAGAGTGTGCTGCAGCAGTGTTCTACTCTATGATGAAACTGGCGATTGGTAATCCACAGAAGTCTACTCGTGAATTATGTAGAAACCTGGCGAGTATCATTACAAAATGGAAGGGACTTGTTGATAAGTACGTAAACACAATTGATGAACAGATAGAAGTGATACAGAAATGGGAAGAGATGTGCCAGGAATCGCCTGAGGAGTTGGGCCCTTTGTTTGCTCGGATTCTGCATCTTCTGTATGATAAAGACGTGTTGCCAGAAGACGCCATCTTGAGATGGGCGGAAGAGCAAGCAGGCGTGGATGACGATGAAAAAGTTTATCTGAATCAATGCGAGACCTTCATACAATGGCTCAAGGAAGCATCTGAGGAGGGAGATGAAGAAGATGACTGAAATTCCATTTGAAAGCCATCAAACT